TACGAACTCGTGGCACATCGTTGTTTCGCGGCTCGAGGATTTTTCGAAGGTGCTCTGGAATCGGGCCCGACCGCGATGCTGCGAGCGCGGCGGAGCAGAGGACGACATAACCTAGTAGCAGCGAACTAACCGTCGCGTACTCTTGGAAGAGTAGAAACGAGTATCAATCGGCTAGAAATTACGACCTTCCAGACCGATTCGATCGTGCATTTCGCCGAAGAAAAATGCGCACAGTATATCTATATCACGATATCGATCGATCACGACTTAGGAATTTATAACCTTAGACGCTGATCCGAATTCGGCGCCAGCCGCTCGATCGTAATCGAGAAGGAAACGCGAGACACAGTTCGTATCGATGGTTCTTGACGGCCGTTTAATTGTAAGATGAGAGACACTGCGAATAGCCGCGGCACGAGTTAAAAGGCCATGGGGTGGGAGGTAGGGGAGTACTCGATACAGAGAGAGAGAGAGAGAGAGAGAGACGTCTCTGTCAGTGCGACGGATGGCTGAAGGTGTGTTCGCGGCGGGGTGAACAATATACCGTGCCCCCTTTCGTGGTCGTACAACCGTGTTTTGCATCCGATTCGTTCGAATCGATATTCCTGCATACTCGGGAGTCGGAGTTTAATCGCCGCGTTACGGTGATTAATACGGTCCGCTGGATACGGAGAGAGAGGACAAGTTGTCGGGTAATGTATGTGGGCCGCGGCGAATTTACGTGGCCACGGCCTGGTAATACAGTACCCGTGGGAGGTATATTATAGCGCGTTATAGTCTTCGAGAGAGATAACCCGCAGGAATTTCCGTACCGTGTACCGGGGGATTTCTTTCAAAATCGTGTCTCCACCGTAGAGAGCCGGACGCCCGGACTACCCGTGACTTGGGAACCGAGTCTAGCAGGGACCATGGGGGAACAACGCGACGCGAAATGACGCTGAAAGCGGAGCACCGCGTTCCCTCGTTTAAAGCAAAATAGTATTTTATTTAGTTAACAGAAACAAGATGAGTAGAAGATGTGAAAGAATAGGATAAGGAGACAACCGAGTAAATGCAATTTACTCTTGCGAAAGCTGTCGTTCGACTGACTAGGCAGCGTAGTTTTTCTTTCTAAAGTTGCCAGGAGCACAGGATAAACACATGCAAGTGATTATCCTTACCCTGTGCATTTATTGCCCTGGCAGCGTCGTCTCCGGCTCGAACGTGTAAAGTGTATAAGTGTACGACCCTCCGAGGGTCATACCGCAAGATATAATAAAACTAGAATCTAAGCACGCATTTAACAAATACTTAAAACTATATAGACATTACAATAAAATCCCGTTTCGGCCGCACGCCCTGCCCAGCAGCGTTCGCGAACCGCTCGCCGTTCGCATTCGGTAACTATCGAATCATATTTTCCCCGCGGATGTATTCAGATACAATTGCTGTAATATTTCTCAATGGACGGTATTGTTACCCAGATTGGCGATCAAGCGCGCGATGTAACACCGTTCGACACAGGTTCCACCGACAACGCGGTCCTCGATGGACCGCGTTCCGAGCGTTCCGAGCGCGAGTCGCGAAATATGCACACTCGTTCGTTGATCGTCCTTGGAGCAGTCGACGATTATTTTCGAATAATCACCGTTCCACGTGCACGCGTATACGATTTCTAAATCCGCGCGGTTCCAATTGTTGTTGCGACATATAAAATGACGACGTAGCTCCGGCGCATGGCAAATTTATCCAGCGTCGGAACTCAAGGTGCAGGCGAAAAGAGCAACCTCGCGAATCGTCGCGGAGTTCGAGCCTTCGCTCGCGGATAAATTGCTCGCTCTCTATTCTTTATTCGGTGCTAAACAGAGAGAGAACGATTAGTATCGTTCATTGGTAGCAGCGTCTTGTATTACACGTATACAGTAATGTCTCCAAAAATTGTCCATTTTCGTGGACAATCGGAGCGTCAATTAGAGAGACATTACTGTACGGTGATGTCTCCTTAATTGGTGCTCAGAATCTGCAGAAAAATGGACAATTTTGGAAGAGGAGATACGATTGTTCGAGCCTTGCGGCACGTTTTTATGGTTAACAATTGTCATAAATTGTGAAAACAAGACGCGAGGCTCGATTAATTGCATCTTCTCTTCCCGAATTGTCCATTTTTTTGTACAATCCGAGCGTGAATTAGGGAGAATTTACTGTATGTATACGTCTGTCTCGATGCATGCTTGTTCGAACTATTAAACGATCGGTTAACTCGAAGGGATAGAATTTGATTTCGGTTCGAAGCGGTTCTCGGAGACTGTGGGAAAATTCTATAGGGTGCGACGAACGCGATTTCCATTGCGCGAATTAATTTCGAATAAAACTACCCTCCTCGGATCGAATTATCGTGTACCGCTCTTTCTTTGTTATGAATTTTTTGCAAGCATTCCCAGTACTCTTTCCGCTCACTGTTTCAACAATTTTTTCGGATTACAACCGTAATCGATACGCATACGTGTGTGTACATACCTAAAAATTTGATCTTGGTAGGTTCGCGCGTAGTTTAATGATCAATGTTTCGAGATAAAGTAATGTCTTCCTAACTGACGCTTGGATTGTGCAGAAAAATGGACAATTTGGGAAGAGGAGATACGATTATTCCGGTGCTTTGCACCATGTTTTTATAATCGTTGACAATCGGTAACTATATAAAAACAAAGGCTCGATCTCGCAAGGCTCCTCTTCCCAAATTGTCCATTTTCGTGGACAATCTGAGCATCGATTAGGGAGACATTACTGTATCGGGTCGAGAGAAGCGAACGAAGAGACTGGAATGTCCCAGCGAGCGAACAATGCGAGGTATTAAAATTCTCGAATTTAGTTCGGGGTACAGACCTGATTACTTTGGGCCCTAACGCGTGGATTTGGAAACGCGCGGTCAGCAGGCGAAACGAGCAAGAGGTTCCATCGAATCCCTCGACCCAAATCCACTAATTACACAGCTCAGTAGGCCGCAACAGGCCGCTTTTCACCAGCGAAGAACATATTTCGCGGTCTCGACGATAATCGATGCCCGTGTAACGACATAATAACGCGGTAAACAGGGTCGTCGAACAAAAGATTTAGCTTTCGCCGTCGAGTCGATGGAAAAGATACGCGAGCCGGAGAAACGGCGATACAGCGACCGATAACTTGTTACATTTAGAATCGCGAGACGGACGATCGTTCGTTTGTGCGCGTGTTTCGTTCGTTGAGCTCTTCTAGTAATATCTATTATCCTACGCGAGGATGTCTACACACCCCCCATGGGGGTCCAAGACTCCAGACTGGAATCTTAACTCGTCGACCGAACAGTTTCCCCGCGAATACCACGGATGCCGGTACGGACCTTGATAAGGGAGAACGATAGCAATCAATATCACAGTCGATGCGATTATAATCGAATTCGTCGTTGCTTCCGATCGTAATACAGTAATGTCTCCCTTACCGACGCTCAGGTTGTGTACAGAAATGGACAATCTGGGAAGAAGAGATGCGATTGTTCGAACCTTGCGACTCGTTTTTATAGTTGCTGACAATCGATAACCATAAAAAACGAGCAGCAAGGCTCGAACAATCGTATCTCCTCTTCCCAAATTATCCAATTTAGTGGACAATCTGAGCGTCAGTAAGGGAGACATTACTGTACGCGGAACAACGTATAGACCTCGCGTGACAAAAAGGCGCTTTTGCGCTTATATTCCCCCCACCCCGACATTTATTTCGCTGCTCCGCTGCCGCGGTACTCGGTCGCTATTAGCCGAGAACGGCGGCGAAGATCGCCGTCGGTCAATTCATATTATTCGGGAAGCGCGAAGAGATTCGATTATTCCATAATTTTTACAGTAACGTCTCTCTAATTGACGCTCAGATTGCGCACAAAAATGGACGATATGGGAAGAGGAGATCGATTATTCGAGCCACGCGGTTTACTTTTATAGTTATAAACTGTCCACAATTATAAAAACGAGCCGCAAGGCTCGAATAACCGTATCTCCTCTTCCGAAATTATCCAATTTAGTGGACAATCTGAGCGTCGGTAAGGGAGACATTACGCGGGAAGAAGGCGCATTCGTAAGTTATCGTTATCCTCGATAATTCGAGGATGCTCGATGAATTGTATATCCGTAATTTATATCGTACATAATTTGTACGTGTTTCGAATATTTAATTACCAAATATATCTAAAAATCACCTAAATATTATTCCACCGAAACGATATCATCGTCGACGAAAAACCGTCGTCGGAGATTATATTTTTCATGGTCGCGCAGGTGCTGGAAGCAGGGCTTGAAACGAACTCGAAAATATCTGTTAACGCAACTGCTATAATACATGTATACATACATGTATAATTTCTATTCGCATCGGTTTCGGTTACGATCCCCTATCGGCCACCGTATCGGTCACCGTATCGGTCCTAGAGCCGTTTCCGTTTAGGATTCTACGTTGCACGTGTATCGGGTGAGCATCCAACATTTTCACCGAGAATATCTTCGTCGTTTCGGATGACACGAGAAAATGTACAACGTTATAAATATGTTCGACTTGGTAATTTCGTAAATTTCTTTCTCAAGATCGGATTTTCCAAAATTCCAAGGTCGTCGTCGTTCGCAACAGTTGCGGGCTCCGGTTATCCTTGATCAATTTCTAGGACCGAAATCGAAACGATAATACAGATCGACAGTTTTCGAGCCATGTGCTAGCAACTGGCAACTCGGCGGTGCGGCAACTGGTAGCTGGTAACTGGAAACTGGAAACTGGAAAGGTATCCTACACTCCGAGCGGAGCAGAGCAGAGCCGAGCAGAGCGGAGCGGTGCGGAGAGAGTCGGTAACAGGGCGACGCTGGTAGCGGCAACCCCGCTCCGTCGGCTCGGCGTTGCTTGCGTGGCCTCTCTCGGAGAGGGATGGTGGAGGAAAGAGTCGCACCGGCTGGCGGCTGGTGCGAGGAAGAGGCTGCGGCGCGGTGGTCGCGCCGGAGCGAGAGCACCCGGGTAGCGCGGGTAGAGCGGCACTAGCGGCAGTGGCTCTGCTGGCAGCAGCAACACGTAGTAGTAGACGGTAGCACCGCGACGAGGACGCACGCGTTTCTCTCTGTTCTATAGATATCGCATTCACGTTGCTGCGCTTCGGTGGCTAACGGCCGTAGACTCGCTCCGAGAGCAACCAGCAGTCGCCTCGCTTCGCTCGGTCCGGTGGCGCAGCCGCGTTACGCGTGCACATTTTTTCCTATCTCCGACCGCTACCAGAGCATAGTCACCAACTACGGGACACGCTACTGTCACCGTTACCAACCACCCGCACCCCGTCAGCCGTCAACCGTCAACCGTCGACCGTCGACCGTCAGCCGTCAGCCTTGTCGACGCGCACCCGAAATCTCGCCAGGACCGCTTAAAGCAGCAGTAAGCAACAGCCGCAGCAGCAGCTCGATCTACCCCCGAGGAGGACCAACGATCGTGGAACTCTCGTCTGTTACTCTCGAGACGGCGCCAGGTAGGCAATATTCCTTGTCGCCATAAAACAGCCGTAAAACCGTGGACACTCACACGCCTCTGTCCGGCAGTAAGCCTCTCCGCGAAGCCGAGGTACACCATGAAAATGGAGGAGCGTCCTCCGCGAAGACGCTTCCACGCGCTCTCTCTCTCCGTGTATCCCCATCGATTTTCCAACGGCAAGACCCGCCCTGTAATTTACCCGTTCCTCTCTTTCTCGCTCCTCTCGTTTCCATCCCCTTTTCCAGTCGGTCTCGCTCTCGCGCTTCGCCAGCAGTCGAAATCGAGTCTCGTCGTCAAGATCAACGACTGGCCCCTGGATCTCTCTCTCTCTCTCTCTCTCTCTCTCTCTCTCTCTTTCTCGCCGACGACGAGCCGCTGCCATAACGCCGTGTGCACGTCTCATCTCGGCTTCTTTTTCTTTTTGCGCGTGTTTTGTTACCGACTCGATCGATGGACTCGCTATCGGGTTCTCTCTTTCTCGGTTTCACCCTCCATGGCCGAATCCGTGGACGCTCTCTCGCCGCCCTCGCTCCAGAGCTAGACGATCTCGAACCTAGGCGACGGACCACGCGTCGTCTCCTATCGAGAATCGACGATGCCGTCCGATCGAGCCACGATCTCGCTCTTCTTCGCTGCACGAAAATTTCTTACGCTCCCGCTACTGCGCGAGACTCTCCCGCGATTCTACGGGTTTATCGTCGTTTTCCCGAGAACGACGTCTTTTTTATCACGTTTTTTTCAAAGGGTCTGTATACTATTTTCTCAGGGCCGGTCGTGTCTCCGCTTTGTTCTCTCGTTTCTAATAGCAGAGAAAGATCTACGTACACAGTAATGTCTCTCTAATTGACATTAAGATTGAAGAGGAGATACGATTGTTCGAGCCTTGCGGCACGTTTTTATGGTTAACGATTTCAATAAATTATAAAAACGAGACGCAAGGCTCGATTAACACTAAACCTACCAAGCAGTAATACTAACTGGCACGTACTGCTTCACAAAAGTGAGAAGACCGAATTTATTTAGAATTTGTAACGTTTTTATTACAAAACTTGCTCCAATAATATCACTTATTCAAGCGTTTTCCACGAAAGAGTCTCGGAACTTTTCAGAATTGCAAAATAAGAATGCGGTCACTTTGACCGCGGTAGGTTTAGCGTTAATTGCATCTTCTCTTCCAAAAATTGTCTATTTTTGTGGTCAATCTGGGCGTCGATTAGAGAGACATTACTTTACAGTGATGTCTCCTCAATCGACGTTCAGATTCTGCAGAAAAGTGGACAATTTTGGTAGAGGAGATACGATTGTTCGAGCCTTGCGGCACGTTTTCATGGTTAACAATTGTCATAAATTATGAAAACGAGACGCGAGGCTCGATTAATTGCATCTTCTCTTCCCGAATTGTCCATTTTTTTGTACAATCCGAGCGTGAATTAGGGAGAATTTACTGTATGTATACGTCTGTCGCGATTCATGCTTGTTCGAACTATTAAACGATCGGTTAACTCGAAGGGATAGAATTTGATTTCGGTTCGAAGCGGTTCTCGGAGACTGTGGGAAAATTCTGTAGGATGCGACGAACGCGATTTCCATTGCGCGAATTAATTTCGAATAAAACTACCCTCCTCGGATCGAATTATCGTGTACCGCTCTTTCTTTGGTATGAATTTTTTGCAAGCATTCCCAGTACTCTTTCCGCTCNTTTTTCAAAGGGTCTGTATACTATTTTCTCAGGGCCGGTCGTGTCTCCGCTTTGTTCTCTCGTTTCTAATAGCAGAGAAAGATCTACGTACACAGTAATGTCTCTCTAATTGACATTAAGATTGAAGAGGAGATACGATTGTTCGAGCCTTGCGGCACGTTTTTATGGTTAACGATTTCAATAAATTATAAAAACGAGACGCAAGGCTCGATTAACACTAAACCTACCAAGCAGTAATACTAACTGGCACGTACTGCTTCACAAAAGTGAGAAGACCGAATTTATTTAGAATTTGTAACGTTTTTATTACAAAACTTGCTCCAATAATATCACTTATTCAAGCGTTTTCCACGAAAGAGTCTCGGAACTTTTCAGAATTGCAAAATAAGAATGCGGTCACTTTGACCGCGGTAGGTTTAGCGTTAATTGCATCTTCTCTTCCAAAAATTGTCTATTTTTGTGGTCAATCTGGGCGTCGATTAGAGAGACATTACTTTACAGTGATGTCTCCTCAATCGACGTTCAGATTCTGCAGAAAAGTGGACAATTTTGGTAGAGGAGATACGATTGTTCGAGCCTTGCGGCACGTTTTCATGGTTAACAATTGTCATAAATTATGAAAACGAGACGCGAGGCTCGATTAATTGCATCTTCTCTTCCCGAATTGTCCATTTTTTTGTACAATCCGAGCGTGAATTAGGGAGAATTTACTGTATGTATACGTCTGTCGCGATTCATGCTTGTTCGAACTATTAAACGATCGGTTAACTCGAAGGGATAGAATTTGATTTCGGTTCGAAGCGGTTCTCGGAGACTGTGGGAAAATTCTGTAGGATGCGACGAACGCGATTTCCATTGCGCGAATTAATTTCGAATAAAACTACCCTCCTCGGATCGAATTATCGTGTACCGCTCTTTCTTTGGTATGAATTTTTTGCAAGCATTCCCAGTACTCTTTCCGCTCGCTGTTTCAACAATTTTTTCGGATTTCAACCGTAATCGATACGCATACGTGTGTGTACATACCTAAAAAATTGATCTTAGTAGGTTCGCGCGTAGTTTAATGATCAATGTTTCGAGATAAAGTAATGTCTCCCTAACTGACTCTTAGATTGTGCAGAAAGATGGACGATTTGGGAACAGGAGATACGATTATTCCGGCTTTGCACCACGTTTTTATAATCGTTGACAATCGATAACTATAGAAACAAGTCGCAAGGCTCCTCATCCCAAATTGTCTATTTTTGTGGACAATCTGAGCGTCAGTTATGGAGACATTACTGTACTTGACGGAACTCTTGGAAGGTTTAACACTATTCCTACCGACACTTCACGTATACCTATTCCTACCGCGACCGGTCAAATGACCGGTCTTTCACAACTTATATTTTCAATATTGAATGCAGACCAATAGCCAGTTTACCAGTATAAAAATATATTTTCTTTTATTCAAGAGTACATAATCTACATTTCATTCTTTTTCGTCGCATTTTTTACAAATGGGCTTCTCAACTGTACATTTTCCGCATACGTACTTTTTACATTTTAGACAGATTTTGTTCGTCTTATTATCTTTACAATACCTTATCTGACATGTTTTCCGTTCACGGGAACCTGTACTTGTACTTGCGATGGGTATTGGTTGATTTTCTTTGCCGAGCTCTCGTTGATATTCGATGGCAAGTTCTTCTGCCAATTGGAATAGAAATTCCTGTCTTGTAATTTCTCCTCCCGCAGTTTCTTTATATAACACCCATGCATTTATCCCGGCTAAATCCAAGATATTAAAAAATACTTGCAAAGGCCATCTCCGAGATTTAGATTTTACCGAATAATTTCTGGCCATTTGATCGGTCACATCTACGCCAAATTTGGTGCTATTATACAATTGAATTGTCTCCGGTGTTCGGGTGTCGTTTTCTTCAACTTGTACGGAGTTGTGCATTGAACTGAGAATTAAAACTTTCTTTCTTGGTTTGGCTTTGTAAATTGTCAACATACAATTATTTGAGCGATAGAGTTTGCTTGAGAAAATTGTTCCAACAATCGTAGTTTTTTTTGCTAAAAGTTTTGTTGCTAAAGGTAGGCTTGTAAAAAAGTTGTCTGTGGTTATATTTCTTCCACATCCTACATACGGTTCTGCTAATTTCATAGTGACAAACTCTCCAAGAGGAACTGAGGGTTCTCTACTTTCATCTTTTCCCAAATATGGAAAGCCGTTTATTATATATTTGCTGCGTACATCGGATGCTAACCAAAATTTTATACCAAATTTGTCCGGTTTATTGGGCATGTATTGAGTGAATCTACACCTTGCTTTCGTTGGAAACAATTGTTCGTCAATAGTAATGTATGGTCCTGGTTTATAACAATTTTGACTGTTGTAAATAAACTTGTACCAAACTTCGGAAATCATAGCGAATTTATCAGTTTGTAACCGTTGGCTTCGTTGATTTCTGTCGTCAAATCGAATAAATCTCATAATCTCCGTAAAGTCATGTCTACTCATAGTATTTGAGAAAAAAGGCGGGCCCCACTTTTTATTCCACAGAAGTGCTATATCTATATTCTTAGCCTCATATGCGCCGCGTGCATACAGAATTGCAAAAAATGCATATAACTTTGCAGTAGACAGTTCCCATTTATATCCCAACACTCTAAATGCCTCTGCCTTTGTGCACTTTCTTATAAGTTCGATTATATTCTTATCAATTATCACAGAAAATGCCGTCCTAACTTCGCCTTTCATAAAGTCGAGCGAGAACTGTAAACACTTGTAAGTGCCGTAAACCATTTTCTGGAAGGCACTTCTCGGATAAAATCGTGCCACAACTACATTATGTTTTGTTTCTAACGACTTTATAGTTTTGGCATTGAGTCTTAGAGAGAAACTATTACAAAAGTGTATAAATCGTACTACCGGTCAAATGACCGGTCGTGGTAGGTAAGATAGACTACAAATATTTCTCAGAAAATAAACAATAAAAAAATAAGTGAATATTGAAAAATGTATCATACATATATATGAGGAAAAGTCGTAAAGTTTAAAGGCGATTCACTTACGTTGAATGTAAGAAATTCCAATTGAAAATTTAAAAACGGTCATTTGACCGGTCCCGGTAGGAATAGTGTTAAAGCGAAAGTAAAGCAACGCAAGGAACCAAAAACTTCGCATTTTCTGCCCGGGGAGTCGGTTTAGTTAGATTCCCGCTATCTTTTCTCGAATCTCTCCGATACACGAGACCAAAACTTCGGCGTCCTGCTAAAAATGTTCATAGGATAAACTTTTCAAAAGTATA